CTTCAGTCTCTAGGCACTAGATTTCAGTCTCTAGGCTCTAAGACACTTCAGTCTTAAGTTCTAGACTTCAGTCTCTAGGCTCTAAGACACTTCAGTCTTAAGTTCTAGACTTCAGTCATAAGGCTCTAAGACACTTCAGTCTTAAGTTCTAGACTTCAGTCTCTAAGCTCCCAGGTTTTAGGCTTCAGTCTCTAGATTCCTATATTTTGCTCTAGGCTCCCAGGATCCATCTTTGGACTTAGATCTCTAAGCTCTATGCATCAGGTCTATGTAAATAACTACAGTAATATCTCTCTAATTTGACGCTCAGATTGCCCACAAAAATGGACAATTTTCGAAGAGAAGATACGATTGTTCGAGCCTTGCGGCTCGTTTTTTATGGTTATCGATTGTCAACAACTATAAAAACGAGCTGCAAGGCTCGAATCTCCTCTTCCCAAATTCTCCATTTTTGTGCACAATCTTAGCATCAATTAGGGAGACATTACTGTATTAATAACAATAATAATAATAATTAGTTCCTATATATATAAAGTATATATATATACATAATTATACTAACTATTTTACACAGTCCTGAAGCATCGAGCCCAAGTCCAGAGCCTGAACTCTGGATTCTAGGTGCCCAGAGCAAATAGTCTAGGAATGGATGTATCATTTCCCGGGCGTGTGTTCCGTTTCGTCGGTTGAATGGCGGCCAACCGCTTCCGCGACCATCGCGTGCGTTTCGCTGGATCGCGTGGCCCCGCATATTAATTGGACGTCATTAGAAAGTTGCGATCGGTTCTTAATTAACCGGAAAAGAGGGCCGAGTGAAAACGACCCCGCGAGTCGGTTCGCCGAATCGATCGGTCACTCTCGCCGCCCGCTCGGCGAACGCGATCTGCCGTCGCTCTGTGGCCGATTTCCATGTAAAAAGCGAAAAAGAGAACATTATAACGAATAAACATTACATATCTAAGTCTCGCTTTTTCATTTTATATCGCTATTATGGTGCATATATTCGGGTCTTTGTTTTGGGGTAGAATAACGCAAACAGAATGCAGCGTTCTTTCAATTGTTTACAAACGAGTTTTGTGTAAATACAATTTTTGTTTTCAATTAAATTTCATTTCATTTCATTGAACATTCTCTCTATTTTTATATGGCAAACGATTGCTTCGATCTCAAGTTCGATTGTTTCTTCGAGAAATCGTTTCGATTTCTCGGTCGCTTTTTTACTCGTAATCGACGCGAACGCCTCGGATGCGAGCCATGATCTGCGTATAATACAAAAACAATGATTTATAATTATTCTCGTTAGTCTCGATAGATTGTAAACAGTTGAATTATTGATATTTTACTCGATATATTCGAAACATCTCGCGTAACTCGGTAGCCCATAGGCGTCGCGGTACGCTTCGCGGCACGTGCCTTTTCTGCATTATTATTATTATGAGAAATTTCTCCGATAGCAGCTGACAGCAGCCGATTTTTATTTTGTTATTAACCGAATTTGGGGAGAGGAGAGCCTCTATTATTTTATTATGAATATAATATAAATATAATATAATTTTAACATTTTTTACTTGTATCATATATACCTAATATATGATATATACTTATGATAAGTATATACAATATACATATTGGACTGCCAATAAAATTTATTAATACAAGAATTTCAGAATAATGAACAGGCAATAAAATTATTATAAAAATCGAAACCAGAGAAGTCAAATTTGATTTTTTAATAAAACGAACTTCACTTTTCTACGATCTGTTTTAATGTGCGGGTCGAAAGAGCGAGAGAGCAATAATAATAAAAAAATAAGAGAGAAAGAAAGAACGTAAAAATTATTCTAAAATTAATCAAATAAATAAACGTTAAGTCAACGACAAATAAAAATTAATTAACAATTGCTTCACTATCACACTTCCGTTATCACTTATAATCATACAGAGAACACATTTAAGTAGAATAAAAATCTTTTGTCTTCGATGAAACGTTCGGAATCGACTTTTGGCCAGCTAAATCGACCGACTGGACCGCCGCAGCTTTTCGGAGACGCGTACGCCTGGATGATTAGCGGCCATTACACGCGCTTTATTCGCGATGAATCGCTCGTTGTCCGCAACGTGACCGAGCTCTCGAAATGCAAATTTCTGGAGACCGTCACTTCTCGCGAAGTGATTTATGAATTTTTCGAAACGTTCGCGCGACGCACACAGTCATCTCGCTGAAATCCCCGTACGCCGTTCGAAACGGAGTCAGAATTATTCGAAGTCCACCGGACGAACGATCTTTTAAAAGCTTCCGAGAAATTTCAACGTGTCGGCCTGCGGTTTAAAAATTCCGACGCGAAAATTCTGTCGCTGTTCCGCGAGCTCGTAAACGCGGAACGTCGCCGACGAAATTATGGGATTAATGGAGCCGCGACGTACGCCGTCGGCATAAAAATCGTCGAACGTTTCGAAATGTAATCGAACGGCGATTGCGTGTTTCACAGGAATCAATGAATAACTTATATTTCATCGGGGAGACCCGACGGCCAGGTGGTACCACTTACGGTAAAAGCGGTGGACGGCGATCAGTCGACAGCCGTTGATTAATTAACGAACGGTTTAATTGTCTCGAAATACAGCGCGTTTCACTGAAGCTTTTACACAGCGATATCTCCGTTGTCGTTAATGATACTGAAAAACGCTAGAGGAACCAATTGCATGGTTCAAAGGGATACACATTCCAGTAGAAATAGTTTCTTCTTGAAGGTCATACTTTTCGAGATCTCAAGGTCATAGATCATTTTTTAAATAGGATTATATATTTCTATTATGGTATTAAGACAGCGAAGCTCAAGATGAATACAATGACCTATGGTATGGAATTTCTGTGACCTTCGTGCGACCTTGAGACAGTCGAGAATCGCATTGTTCGCAGCGATTTGAATTGCCGCGCCGAAATCGACTGCGATTCGAATGAAAAAGGGAATTAAAGAATGTGTAGAAGTCAATGGAGATTATTCTGAACATTTATTCCAATTAACTGTTCATAGTTGATCCCTCTCTTGTATTTATTTAAGCATTTGCGCCCATTTCTAAATATTATAAGGTTCATTCGTGCTCAAGGTCGCGCAAAGGTCACGGTGTTACAGGTAATTGGATTCGTCTTGATCTTAGCTATCGTGCTATCATAATAGAAATATATAATCCTATTTAAAAAATCATCGATGACCTTAAACTCTCGAAAAGTATGAACTGTAGAAAGAAATTGTTTCCACCATAATATGTATCCCTCTGAACCGTATAATTCGTTCCTCTAACATTTTTCGCTACCGTTAACGATAACGGAGATATTGCTTCGTGAACAGTCTCCAGTGAAGCACACTTAGACAACGGGCGCGCGCGCGCGCAGAGACGCGGCGGGTTTCGAGAGCGCTGAGGATGGCACCCGCGGGTATCGTAATCGAAACGGAAAGAGAACGAAGAAGAAAAGTCAAATGTTACGTAACAGGCGCAAGCCGGGCAGGCGGATCGTGTTGCCAAACGTCGGGATTACACGGTGCGCGCCGGTTCGACGAAATCGCGAGATAAAAAAGGCACGGCGATCGGTGCACGCGAGCGTTCGATTAATTGTACCATAGTCGGGCCACTAGTCGATCCTAAAATAACAGGCGATCGGCAGCTCGATCGGTAGCCAAAATGTTCGTCGACAATTCGCATCGAGAACGCGATCAGTTCGATCGCTTCGTGACGTTTCTTTTTTTTCTTTTTTAAATAATTATTCCCTTGAATTTTTATCGAAGACAAAAATACGAAGACGCTTCTGGTCGCCGTACGAGGATTACTAATCAATTCGCATGGTAGACGGGTCCGAATGCATTGCCTCACGCTGCGAAATCTGCCGATGACTCGGGAGAAGACACGATAATTGATCGTTGTGCGCGCGGCAACTAATTATTACGTTTCTCGTGAGGGGAAAAAATGGCGTGACTCCGTGAATCATTAATTGTGGCCTGCTTTCCTCCACGATGCTTGCACTATTCCGCGCTCGGCAACGCGGCACTTCGAGTCCTTTGAACCTTTACGGTCGCAGAATTTCGTTGGATTGTCTGCCGGAAACGATTTATCTGTTTTATCTGTGCGAAAGAATGTGTCAAGCAAATGTATTAATTGTCCGATAAATTTTATTGTATTAGACAATTTTTAGAATTCCCATTTTCTGAGCTGGTTTCGTCTTCTTTGGCCGTGCCTTGTTTTACTGTACCATTTGGCAACACTGTATTTCGAATACCTGGCAATACTGTATTTTGAATACTCGACAACATTGCATTTCAAATACTTGGCAATACTGTATTTTGAATACTCGACGACATTGCATTTCGAATACTTGGCAACCCTGTATTTCGAATATCTGGCAACACTGTATTTCGTATACCTGGAAATGATGTACTTCGAATACTCGGCAACACTGTATTTCGAATACCTGACGATACTCTATTTCAAATACTCGGCAACACTGTATTTCGAATACTTGGCAACACTGTATTTCGAATATCTGGCAATACTGTATTCTGGATACCTGGAAACACTGTTTTTTGAATATCTAGGAATACCGCATATCGAATACTTGGCAACAATGCATTTCGAATACTTGGAATCACTGTCTTTTAAATACCTGGCAACACTGTAATTTGAAAACCTGGCAACACCGTATTTCGAATATCTGGTAGCACTGTTTTTGAATACCTGATAACATTGTTGTTTGAATATTTGGCAATACTCTATTTACTTTACTTATTTTATTTACTCTATATACTTGGAATCACTGTATTTCGAAAACCTGGCAATACTGTATTTCGAAAACCTGGCAACACCGTATTTCGAAAACCTGGCAACACTGTATTTCAAATATCTGGTAGCAATGTTTTTGAATACCTGGTAACACTGTTGTTTGAATATTTAGCAATACTCTATTTAGAATACTTGGCAACACTGTATTTCGAATACCCGGTAACACTGTATTTCGAATACTAGCGTATCAACCCCGTATCACGTCTGAAAACGGATATGCTTGACATCGCGTTTGCCCTAGCTACGTCGTCTTTGAATTCTAACCTCACTTTTCCTGCCTCAACAATTCCTAACCTCACTTTCCTAAGTCTCGCAATTTCTAACCTCGCTACTCCAGCCCTTACGATTCCTAACCTCACTGTTCCAGCCCTTACAATTTATAACCTCACTTTTCCAGCCTTCGCGGTCCCTGACCTCTCAAATTCCGTCAGAAATACAGTTCTCGGAACAACCAAATTCGTGTTGCCCGTCGCGAATTCTTTCAACATTTTTTATTCTCTAGCGTGTCTCTACATCCATTTTCAGATGACACGCCTCGATTTCCTCAAGAGCAATAGCAGCGTCGAATAAAACGATGAACCATGAACAAGCAAAAAGGTGTTCACGAAGTTAATCACCAGAACAGATTCTCGCCGCGGTATCACCGCGACCCGTGGATGAGTCACCGGCGCGGCGCGATTTGCGCCGGAACCGCTCTGGCCGCCGTCTAATCTCGTCTGTTACGTGATCCTATTTTTTTTCCTGTTTTCGCGCTATTTCCCCGGAATCGGCGATCGATCAACACAAAAGCCGAAGGACTTTCCGCGAGTTACGTGGAGTCCCCTTGAAGGCGCGCGGCGTTCAATCGATTTTTACTGCGTCGTTGCCGATCTCGAGCGAACGGTTCCCGCCAAGGACGACGAGGCGGAGGAGGTCTGGATCGATGATCCTCGCCGATATAGGAGCAGAGAACGCGCCGCGCTGAGCGGCGTGACACGCGCGCGTGCAGAATCTGCCTGGCGCGGCGGAGGTCAGGAAAATTATCAGACCGCGGTTAGTATGCGGCGTCGACACGCCGGATAATTACCGGGATAAGGCCGGTCGATCGAGCAACTATGTGGGAACCTTTTTGTGTATCGTAACGATGGGAAATGGTTGACCGAGCCCCGTCGAACGGCAATTAATCCGTTCCGTTGACGGGCCGCGCGAGTCGAATCGGACGAGGACGCTCGATACGAATCAGCTGTGGGAAGCCTTTATTTGTTTTAATAATCGCGGAATTGTATAACCTGCGCGACGGATCAACTGTTTTTATAGAAACGGTGAGAAACTCGGCGTGAAGCGCGCAGCCTCGCTAATTAGCTTCGTAATTCCGAAGTTTCCTGTCCTCGTCCAGCTTAGACATCCGATACTATCTCCCAGCTGGATCGATATAAACATTCGATAAGTGCATACTTAACCTACGTGAATTGTGCGAATTGCTAAATTTTTATTGTATTGTACATCGAAAATGTACGCCCTTCGGAAGAGAGATTCTCCGGACGATTCGAAGCAACTTTTTCCTTTACGAAAATTTTCTATCTGTCTTCGTTCACGAGTTATCGGCGAGCAAACGTGGAACAATCGGGGCACCGCGGACGCACAGTAGGCGCGGCAGGCAGCTCCGCGCGACGGTGGACGCGGCGCGCCATTGGCCGCCGAGTCGCGGCGCTGGCGTACAGGCTCTCTGATTGGAGTTCGCGTTTCTCGTCGATAACTCCTGAACGGAGCCTCGGAGAACATTTCCGCAAAGGAAAAAGTTGCTCCAAATCGCCCAAGGAGTCTCCTCGTTCAGAGATTCGAACATCGTCGCTCATGAAACCATCGCTGTCAATATAATTAACCTTTATTTCACCGTCGATATACCAGCTCCAGGAGGAAAACAAGGGCACGTGTTAATATAAATAATATAAATCTCCCTAAATGACGCTCTGATTTTACACAAAAATAGACAATTCGGGAAGAGGCGACACGATTAATCGAGCCTCGCGGCCCGTTTATATAGTCGTCGACAATCGTTAAAATAGCGTAGGAAAGCAAATCATATCCCCTCTCCCCGAATTGTCCCTTTTGGCGTACAATCCGAGCGTCATTTAGGGAGACATTACTGTAGTTCGACTTAAAGGCTACAATTTGATACTCCGTCAGGCGTCCCCGGCAGTTGAACCATGCTCCTCGCAACACTTCGTGTTTCTAACGGCGACAGGCAACGCCAGAGGAAAGTACAGCTGTTGATTCGAGGCCAGGGCTTCGACGAGCTCCGACTGGCCCTCCGAGACCACTTCCGCGTCATTCGGACTGGCGGCGGCAGATTCGTCTTTGGTTTTCTCGGTGTTCGTCGCATCCTGTTTGTCAGACTTGGGCCCGTACGGCCCGTAGTGATAAAATCCGTGGAACGGGTAATAGGGCCCAAGGGGGAACGGCAGGAAGGGGTCATGGATGTACGGGGCCTTGTACGGGCCCTCGAAGAACCCATGGTGGTAAGGTTTGTACGGGAACACAGGGAATCCCGAATATTTTGCGAAAGGCCCACCACCGTAAAACGGCCCGTAACCGGGCCCATAACCAGGACCATACCCATGACCATACCCAGGACCATAGCCATGACCGTACCCATATCCATGGCCATTACCATGGTTGTACCCATGCCCAGGCCCAGGCCCATTATTATTCCCATTCGCATTGGCATTTTCCCCCTCCGCTTGGGCAGCGTTCTGCCCATTCTCCGGCCCATTCTGCGGATGATCAGGCCTCCCATATCCACGATGACGAGGATAATAAGGCTCATAGGGAGAGTAGGGCCCATAATCGTTGTATCTGGGGCCCGAATAAGGCCCCCCGTAGTGACCTGAATTATTTCCCCCGTGATAGCTGTCATTGTAGTAGGGCCCGGGCCCATGGTAGTGGGGCCCGTAGAAGCCGTTGTGGAAGGGCCCGTAGTGAAAGCTGGGGTAAAGGTAGCCGCCCTTCTGGTTCTGGTCCTCCGTCAACGAGGCCGGACTCTGACCATCCTCGTCCTCGGTTTGGCCGTTCGCAGGAGGATGACCTTGCTGGTAGAGGTCACCCGAGTTTCCAAAAGCTGATGGGCCCGGAGTATTGTAAGGGTCCTGGTAGTTCAGATTGTAGGGCCTTTCGGCCAGGTCCCTGGCAGGCTGAGGGTCGTCATTGGGCCCTTCCTTCTCGTCGATGTCCGCCACTCCTGATGGCTGCTGCTCGCCAGGCCCTGAGGTCTGCGGATGACGATCACGATGATGATACTGGCGGAACAGTGGCAGATAGTTGTTGGGTGGGGGGAGCAGTGGGTGCACCAGGTCGAGCTTGTACTTGAAGCCGGTTGGCTGTTGATATTCGCTCGCGTAGTGAAGGTTCACGTCGCTGTCCACTGCGTTGCCCCTCTTGTCGACGTTCGAGGACTCCCCGTGCCCCACGATCGCCTCGCCTCGGGGACTTTCTGGCCCAGGGTTCACCGGGAACCGGTACGCTTCAGGGCCGTAGGGCTTCGGGTAGCGAACCGTGTCCAGCACCCCGTAGATGTTCCGGAATCGTCTTTGATCGTCGACCAATGGCGAGCCGCGATCCCCCACCAGCCTCTTCGCGCGGTCCCGGGGCGCCCCCTCCAGGAATCTACCATCGCCCTCCTCGACGTCGTCCGCGTGGAACGGCTGCACCTCCAGCAGCTTCTTCAGCGGCCCGGAGAGCTTCAACTCGGTCTGGTTGCCACGGGTATCGCGCAGCTCGCCCAGCAACGTCGTCGACAGCACCGACGCGATGTTCTTCGCGAACGACGTCAACACCTCGGGACCTACTAAGCAGATCGTTGAATTAGAAAGCTTCGGGCGTGGGACTTTTGGGCTGTGCTTTGGGGAAGGGCCCAGGCAAAAAGGGGCATAGTCAAAATTGCTCTTAGAGGTTTTTTTAGCGATTATAGGACCGTTCGGTAGTTGACCGAGGAAAACTCGTCTGTGCAAAATTTCAACCCTGTAGCTTGTTCATGGGGGTAGTTACAGGGTAAATTAGACCGCGCGATTTTTCGCCTATTCCTTTCATCGGCGACTCTCTAAAATTTTGAAAAAAATGTTGCTTGTTTTGGACGTCGAACCGCATGTTATAGAATTTTTTCAGATTTTTCGGTTGCAAGCTGTGGTTATCAAAAATGAAAATCTCCCAAAAAAGTTAGAAAATTGAATATTTCTCGAAAACAAATATATAGGTTATTTTGATATTAATTCCTTGATAAGATGCTGTCGCAAGCAGTGCGCTCGATTTTTTCAGATTTTTCGTCCAACTGCGCGATTGTTAAAAAAAATGAAAACCGGAAGCCTGCTCCGATTTCGATGCCTTCAGAATAAGTTTTCGAGGACAGCGTTGCAAACGCAGTATTTTGTAATAAAAGTGAACGTTCCACAAAATATCCTCGGAGTTGACTCTTATTCTATTTATATTTATACGAACTTTGTATTATAAAAAAATTTTATTTTGCATCCGGGATTGCCAGAGGTTAAATGTTGCTATTAGCATTGATTCTTCTCCATTCGGATTTACGAATCTTTATAAATCTTGCATGAGATCATCGTCGTTCACAGTATGAAAAATGCAAAAGGCATATTTATTGCGGTTCCAGGTCCTTGGCAACTGGAATTCCCGAAAAATTTATTTCGCTTTCGATTGGAGCGATCGTTCAGCGCCAAGGATTATTAAAATGCGACGATCACTGTCGCAGAATTTAATGCCGCATTCCGCGAAGGAAGAATACAGGAAACTGTATCCTTGACTCGTGCTGAAGGAATACGCTGAGTCCCGAAAAATATCGTCCATATATGTATATATTGTAATTAACTGTGGAAGATCGCATTTGTTTTTCTTTTTTAATTGCGTTCATTTAGCATCAAACAGAGATTTCTTCGAACGAAAATTCTCATTTCTGTGAACAATGAGCAAAAATGTAAACCGGAACCCAATCTAGACCATGGTGTAATTAACTGGTACAATAATTTCCTCGGAAATATTTTTAGGTCATGATTGACCCTGATTGAAAAGTGCAGAAGAAATAGTTAATTTAATTCTAGATAAATGCTCCGTTGCAAATAATTAAATGGAAAATTCGAAAATATTGAAAATTCAACTTTTACTAGAAAGTGAGATCAAAACGCGATGTTAGAGTCACTTGTGACCCCACGACTTTCAATATTAGTACTACTATATCAGTACTACTTTTTTTTAAAAAACTTCGTATTTTTATTAATTAAATTGTTAACTTAATTCTAGATAAATAATTCATTGTAATTAAGTAGAAGAAAATTATAAAATATTGAAAAGTTAACTTTTACTGTAAAGTGAGATCAAAACGCGATGTCGGGGTCACTTGTGACCCCATGACTTTCAATATCTGTCTCTTATACACATCTCTGTAAAGTGAGATCAAAACGCGATGTCGGGGTCACTTGTGACCCCATGACTTTCAATATCTGTCTCTTATACACATCTCTGTAAAGTGAGATCAAAACGCGATGTCGGGGTCACTTGTGACCCCATGACTTTCAATATCTGTCTCTTATACACATCTCTGTAAAGTGAGATCAAAACGCGATGTCGGGGTCACTTGTGACCCCATGACTTTCAATATCTGTCTCTTATACACATCTCTGTAAAGTGAGATCAAAACGCGATGTCGGGGTCACTTGTGACCCCATGACTTTCAATATCTGTCTCTTATACACATCTCTGTAAAGTGAGATCAAAACGCGATGTCGGGGTCACTTGTGACCCCATGACTTTCAATATCTGTCTCTTATACACATCTCTGTAAAGTGAGATCAAAACGCGATGTCGGGGTCACTTGTGACCCCATGACTTTCAATATCTGTCTCTTATACACATCTCTGTAAAGTGAGATCAAAACGCGATGTCGGGGTCACTTGTGACCCCATGACTTTCAATATCTGTCTCTTATACACATCTCTGTAAAGTGAGATCAAAACGCGATGTCGGGGTCACTTGTGACCCCATGACTTTCAATATCTGTCTCTTATACACATCTCTGTAAAGTGAGATCAAAACGCGATGTCGGGGTCACTTGTGACCCCATGACTTTCAATATCTGTCTCTTATACACATCTCTGTAAAGTGAGATCAAAACGCGATGTCGGGGTCACTTGTGACCCCATGACTTTCAATATCTGTCTCTTATACACATCTCTGTAAAGTGAGATCAAAACGCGATGTCGGGGTCACTTGTGACCCCATGACTTTCAATATCTGTCTCTTATACACATCTCTGTAAAGTGAGATCAAAACGCGATGTCGGGGTCACTTGTGACCCCATGACTTTCAATATCTGTCTCTTATACACATCTCTGTAAAGTGAGATCAAAACGCGATGTCGGGGTCACTTGTGACCCCATGACTTTCAATATCTGTCTCTTATACACATCTCTGTAAAGTGAGATCAAAACGCGATGTCGGGGTCACTTGTGACCCCATGACTTTCAATATCTGTCTCTTATACACATCTCTGTAAAGTGAGATCAAAACGCGATGTCGGGGTCACTTGTGACCCCATGACTTTCAATATCTGTCTCTTATACACATCTCTGTAAAGTGAGATCAAAACGCGATGTCGGGGTCACTTGTGACCCCATGACTTTCAATATCTGTCTCTTATACACATCTCTGTAAAGTGAGATCAAAACGCGATGTCGGGGTCACTTGTGACCCCATGACTTTCAATATCTGTCTCTTATACACATCTCTGTAAAGTGAGATCAAAACGCGATGTCGGGGTCACTTGTGACCCCATGACTTTCAATATCTGTCTCTTATACACATCTCTGTAAAGTGAGATCAAAACGCGATGTCGGGGTCACTTGTGACCCCATGACTTTCAATATCTGTCTCTTATACACATCTCTGTAAAGTGAGATCAAAACGCGATGTCGGGGTCACTTGTGACCCCACGACCTTCATTATTACTACTACTATATCAGTACTACTTAAAAAAAAAAAACTTCGTATTTTTGTTAATTAAGCTGTTGACTTAATTTTAGACAAATGCTCTATTGTAATTAACTAGTACTACCTTCTTTGTAAGTAAAACAATCCAAAGTTATAAAATATTGAAAATTAAACTTTTACTAAAAAGTACAACTTAAACGCAATTTTAGGGTCACTCGTGACACAAGCACCATTTTTCCTCGACAACCCTCGTCCTCCTGCTAGAAATAAAGAAAAGCAGTAGTTTTCAGTGAAACGAACTGATCCTCGGCGCTGAAACATCCGCTCCCTTAAACACGATTTTTCCATTGTTTGAGGAAGCGTTTCAAGGCCGATCTGTGGGCACACCCAGAACGATAGAATAATCCGCTTACTGACTCCGGCTTTGGCCGCGTTCACATCGCCGCGCAGGATCCAGAGAGCCGCGCAGAGCACCGTTATCTGCGGCAGAACAAAAGCGATGGTTAGAATCGGTCGGCCGGCTGGCCGGCCGGCCAGCGTCAAGAGGGCTTTCTTTTTCTTTGTGCCGCGAAAAATATGCCCCCCGGCTGCCCCCGGCCTCCCCCGGCCGCCCACCGGACTGCGTAACACACACGGTAATGAGCCCTCGCGACGATATCCGCGGCCGGCAATTTTCTGTAATACGATGTTTTACTTGTCATTGGCTGTCGCAACCAGCGCGCGCGAGCGCGCGCGATTCCGAAGAAGATCGACGCGTCGTTTCATGCGCACGTGTGACACACTTGTCCTCGACACGGTGCCGCGCGTGATTGTGCAAATTTCGAGGGTGCAATCGCGGGATGCTCGGACGCGACGTTTTCCGGCTCGCGCCGCTTTCGACATCCGACTGTTTCACAACGTTGCGCGATCGAATTGTGAATATTCACGCGGTAATTATGGTAGCCCGATGGGCCACTTCGTTAATATTTCAAATCTTTGATTTGGCCAGGGGCGCAGTTTGGGGGTGCTATGTCTAGACAATTGATGCCTAGGAAAGTTTTCGAGAAAAATCGGCCAACTTCGACCGATGATAACTTCGGAAAGAATTGTCGTACGATGATGATATTTCCTTCGAATTGAAGCTTGAAACCTCTACTTTCAGACTCGGTTTCTTGATTTTTAAGTCGATGCGAATCGACTACTTTACTTCAAATGCGAAACCATGTTTGCTACATTGAAAATAGCGAAGTTTGACGAATTGCATGAGCTTTGTGAATTTTTTTTCGGAGATGCTGTTTACACCAAAATGAAATTTGATTCTTCCTCTCTTATTTAGAAAAAAAGAAATTTCGCTGCGATTTTTTTTCGCGAAGTTACAGTACTTTAAAGTGACCCTTTGTCGATCGCCGTACGACAGTTCCTCGGAAAGGGGTGGTTTTTCTATGGTTATATTTAAATCATCACACTCGCGGTTGTGAGGCGAGTTTAAAATCCAATCACTGTGTCTTATAACAGAGATTATAAGCTTTGATTTGAGGAAAAGATCATCGTCCTGCGATGATTTTTTGTGGAGTTATCGTCGGTCAAAGTTGGCCAATTTTCATCCATTCGTCTCTGTTGTAACTTTTTCGAGCAGTACATCGCTTCACTATAAATGGATGGCACCTAATGTAATTACATCGCAGAGGGTTATAATTTTATGCAAAAGTGTTTCCGCAAGCTTAATATTTGTTCAAATTTAATATTTGTCCCAGTTTAGCACTTGTCTAAGTTTACTACACTGCCCAACGAAATCGTTGCATACAACAATTTTCGATTAAAATTCGCCAACTTTGACTGACGATAACTCCGCCAGACATCATCGTAAAACGATGACTTTTACCTTAAATTAAAGCTCGAAACCTCTACTTTGAGATACTTATCCTCGAATTTATATTAGACGTATCCTAACTACTGTCAACATTTAAATGTAACCATAGAAAAACCACCCCCTTCCGGTGGACTTTCTTATGACCTCGACAAGCCTTAATTCAAAGTGCTGTAACTTTGCAAAAAAAATCACAGCTAAGTTTCTTTTCTTTTCTATGAAAGAGAAAGGATCAAGCTTCATTCTACTGCAAACGATATCTCCGAGAAAAATTTTCCAAAGTCCCTACATTTCGTCAAACTTGGAAATTTTCCGTGTGCCAAACATGGCTGCATATTTAAAGAGTTAGAGTGGTGATAGTACGTCCAACTAAAAATCAAGAAACAGTGTCTGAAAGCAGAGAATTCAGGCTTTAATTTGAGCGCAAAATCGGCATGCTGCGATTATTTTTGTAGGAGTTATCGTCACTCAAAGTTGGTCGATTTTCGTCCTAAATTTTTCTGTGTTACAACGATTTTGGTGCAATGTATTTGCAAAAGTTTAATATTTATTCCAAGGTCAATGTCACTCCAAGTTCAACGTACTTCTTAAAATCGTCGATCAGTGGAAATCTGAATCCCAGAAAATGATATTCGACTCCCTGATTTCGCGGATAACCGTCGAAGGCGCAGGACGACGCCGACAAAATCATCCCCGGCATCCGTGTTTTATCATAGCGCGCGACATTCCAATAAAGAGAAGCCATCAATAGCGCTCATTTCGTCTGGTGGAACCTGTTCTCGGCGAGGCTGACGAATCGATCGATCACTATCTCGCACGGCGCTTCCTGAAATTCCCGGAATTCCAGGAACGGTATCGATCATGTGCGCCATTATGAAAATCGTCGTTGAAAATTACGTAACGTCTTTGTCGGCCGCGAATCGGCCGGCACGTAGACACAATGGGAAAAAGATGAAGAAAGCAGGAAAAATGGAGTGCAATCAGACAGCGTGTTATTGTGGCTCGTACCGAGAAAATGAGCCTCGGTGAATTGCTGCGTATGCTACGACTTCTCTCTCTCTCTCTCTCTTTCTCTCGCTCTCTCTCTATCTTCGTTTCTTTTTTTTTATCGGTATGTAATTACAACTCGTTGGATCGCGAATCAACGAATGCCAGTTATCAGACGGCTTTCGAATGATACACGTCGACGGGGGAAGACGCTCCAACGTTGTCATGCTTTCGAGTTCGCGTGGGCTTTCGAGGAGAAATTATTGATGACATGGAATTAGAATCTTGCTTGCGACCGTAGCAGAAACGAACGTCCGAGCGATGCTTTGTGACAAAGGAAATTTTAACGTATTGTAAATAAGACGTTGAGTGGTTTGTTCAATATTTTTTATTTATGTGAGATGTGAAAATATTTCGTATTATATTTTGTATATTTGGTTAATTATTTTGTTAATTTATTTTGCATATATTTTGTTATATATTTTTGTATGTTTATTCAATTATTTTGTATATTTTGTATTATATTTTGTCTGTTTATTCAATTATTTTGTCTGTTTATTCAATTATTTTGTCACAATTTTTTAAATTATTTTGTATATTTTGTCAATTTATTTTATGTACTTTGTAATATATTTTGTATGGTTATTCAATTATTTTGTTAATTTATTGTGTATGCTTTGTAATATATTTTGTATGGTTATTCAATTATTTTGTTAATTTATTGTGTATGCTTTGTAATATATTTTGTATGGTTATTCAATTATTTTGTTAATTTATTTCGTATATTTTGTAATATATTATGTTTGATTATTCAATTATTTTCTCAAATTTATTTTGTATATTTTGTAATATATTTTGTGTATTTATTCAATTATTTTGTTAATATATTTTGTATATTTATTCAATTATTTTTTCAATTTATTTTGTGTATTTTGTAATATATTTTGTATGATTATACAATTTTTTTTTCAATTTATTTTGTACACCGTAGTATATTTTGTAAGTGATATTAACAATATTTATTCACTGTTGATACTAACAATATTTTAAAAAAATGCTAATATTAACAATATTTTCAATAATGCTAATATTACCAATATGTTTTAACGTTGCATCTAAAATAGATGTTATTTGCTAACGATTCGTTTCATCAATTACGATCAGAAATTGCTCGGAAAAATTCCCAAAAGGTCCTAAGATATGAGAAACGATGTTTCTAAACGAATGGGACGCCTTTCATTAATTTATGCACAGTAATCGTCGGATCTGCAGTGGAAACAAGCCACGGTGAAAACTATGCACAGTAGTGCATTCAATAAGGATCGATTACAACTGATTAATTCACACGGAAAACGAGGCGCACATTGTCTCCCGAGCTCCATTCACGAGGTTCGTTCATTCACGAGGTTTAATTTCCACGTGGTACGTGCACCGATCGCAATAAAGCACGTGTGCGTGTGTGTGTGCGTGTGTGGCCACTTACGCGACGTCGAGACTGGCCAGTATCGCGATCCGGAGATTACTGTACCAATTACAAAAAAAGAATTTCAAAATTATAAAATTATATATATAATTTCGTGAATTACAAAATTATAAAATTATATACAAAATTATATATATGTATAAAAAATTAACAAAACAATTGAAAGAATTACAAAATATTAGAAAATTATATACAAAATGATATACATGTACAAAAATTAACAAAATAATTGAACGAATAACAAAATTAGAAAATTATATACAAAATTATGCATATAAAAGAGATTTGTAAAGGAATTGACAAAATAATTGAAAGAACTACAAAATTATAAAATTATACAAAAAATTATATACATATGCAAAAATTAACAAAATAATTGAACGAATTACAAAATTATAAAATGATATACAAAATTATATATATAAAAGAGATTTGTAAAAAAAATGACAAAATAATTGAAAGAATTACAAAATTATAAAATTATATATATATGTATATAACTTTGTATATAATTTTGTAATTTTGTATATAATGCAAAATTGAAAATAAAAAATCTTGGTATCCGTTGATCTCTTTCAACAACTGGCTCCGCCACAGCGGGATAAATTCTCGCCAATTAATCGCGCATAAATTAACAGGCTTTTAATAGATTTAATTGTCGAAGGTCGCGGGTGGATACCGCGAGACGGCAACATCGGCCTCCGTGTAAACGCGGAGAAGAATTTTACGGTGCGCGTGCTTGCATAATGATTTTTACTTACGGTTATTAGATAGATTTGAAGTGGAACGCGTTCTCAGAACGCGAGCTATTGTCTGGTTATTGTTGCACTCGGATCGTAATTAGCATGATTGCGCAACATTTAATCCTTTCTTCCCGCAAGGACGCACTGCGGTTTTCAATATATAGAGTCGGGAAAGTTCACGTCGTCGTCGCCGTCGACGTCGACGTCGTCGTGTTTAACGTACGTATATACGTAAAACGGTTCATCGAAGCACGCCCCGGCACGTATAAATCTTGTACAACACCTGCTCGACACCATTATTCGCGAACGACAAGAAATAATCGCGATCCATTGTTATATCGATCGCAACGACGCCGACTGATTTACTAGGATGCGTCGCGCGCTGTAATAAATTTGTTGAAATTTGTCTGAAGATAAATAATAGCTCGCAACTGGGATGAAGGAACAGTGCGATTCGTGAGAATCGTTGCAAAATTCGAAGGAACCTGTCAGCGAAGACGATGAGCAGGGTTGCACAGTCACCGTGCAGAAATCAATTACTTGCAGCGTTGCGATTTTTTTCCAGCACAAAATTGCACTGGGCAATTTTTCCAGTACAAAATTGCACTGGACAATTTTTTCCAGTACAAAATTGCACTGGGCAGGTGTTCCAGTACAAAATTGCACTGGGAAATTTTTTACAGTGCAAAATTGCACTGGGCAAGTTCTTCCAGTACAAAATTGCACTGGGCAATTTTTTCCAGTACAAAATAGCACTGGGCAATTTTTTTCAGCACAGAATTGCACTGGGCAATTTTTTCCAGTACAGAATTGCACTGGGAAATTTTTTCCAGTGCAAAATTGCACTAGGAAATTTTTTTCCAGTGCAAAATTGCATTGGACAATTTTTTCCAGTACAAAATAGCACTGGACAATTTTTTCAGTACAGAATTGCACTGGGCAATTTTTTCCAGTACAGAATTGCACTGGGCAATTTTTTCCAGTACAGAATTGCACTGGGCAATTTTCTTTAGTACAGAATTGCACTGGGCAATTTTTTCCAGTACAAAATTGCACTGGACAATTTTTTCCGACATATTGTTTTGATTGCTTCCAGTGTTTTTACTAAACATGATCGTTGATTTTTGGCTTTCAAATGAGATTGTGACGAGGATGGAATAAAATTGTTGCAAAGCTGCGATGATATTGTGACAATGTTGCAATGATATTGTAATGAAGTTGTAATGATATTATGAGGAAGTTGCAATGATATTGTAACAAAGCTACAGCGATATTGAAACAAAGTTGCGACGATATTGAAACGAAGTTGTAATGATATTATAACAATATTGCAACGCTATTGTAACATTGTTGCAATTATATTATAACAGTGTTGCAAATATACTGTAACAGTGTTGCAATTATATTGTAACAGCTTTGCAATTATATTGTAACAGTGTTGCAATCATATTGTAACAGTGTTGCAATCATATTGTAACAGTGTTGCAATCATATTGTAACAGTGTTGCAATCATATTGTAACAGTGTTGCAATCATATTGTAACAGATTTGCAATGACATTACAACAAACTTGCAGTGATGTTTTAACACAGTTGCAATAGAAATGTTAGCATTGTCACAATAAAAATTAATTAACAAATTTCGTAACAAAGTTGTAATAAAAATGGTATCAAAGTAGCAATAAGAATTGTGACAAAGTTCCAATAAAAATGTTAGCATAGTCTCGATAGAAATTGTGCCAGTGTATCGCCAAAAAATTGTAGCAAAGTTTTAACAAAACTCGTAACAAAGTCACAATAAAAATGGTAAAAAAAGTAGCAATAAGAATTGTAACAAAGTTGCAATGAAAATGTTAGTGTAGTCGCGATAAAAATTGTGCCAGCGTTTCCCCCCAAAATTGTAGAAAAACTACAATAAAACTTGGAACAAAATCGGAATAAAAATGATAACAAGGTAGCAATAAAAATATAACAAAGTTGCAATGATAATGCAGTGGAATTCTAATAAAATTGCAATAACACTGTATTAAAATCCTAACAACATTCCAAAAAAATTATACCGCAAACATAATAACACTCTAACAAAATTGCAAAAAAATTAGAATAAATTTTTAATAAGATTCCAATAACACTCTGATAAAATTCTAATAAAATTCCAACAAAATTGCACCGCAAACCTAATAACACTCTAACAAAATTGCAAAAAAATTGGAATAAATTTTTAACAAAGTCATCAACAGGACTTGTAACGAAGTCGCAATAAAAACGTAACAAAGTAATAATAAAAATTGTAACGAAGTTACAGTAATAATGCAACGAAATTCTAATAAAATTATTCACAAAATTGCAGTAACACTGTATTAAAATCCTAACAAAATTGCAAAAAACAATTATACCGCAAACCTAACAACACTCTAAGAAAATTGCAAAAAATCGAACAAATTTTCAAGAAAATTCCAATAACGCTCTAATAAAATTCCAACAAAACTCCAATAAAATTCCGCTAAAATCCAGTCGAAACGTCAGCGAAGCTGTCACTTGGCCCGAGCTCGTTCGCGGACAAATCAAAGTCGACGTCAGCCGGCACTTCGGAAAAAGCGAATCGTGCGGAGCAGAAACAACGAAGAGTGTCTTGGGCAACGTGGTCGTGTCGCGCGGAATGCGAAGCGAATCGAACAAGCGAAAAATGAATTTTCTCGTTTCGGAGACAGCGAGCGTGGCCCCGTTACCGCGCGGCGGATCCTTGCGACGTGATCTTCGCGGTTGCGACAGATGGTCCCTCGTTATCTTTTCGTTTCGCCGTTCTGTCAACGGAGGACCGACAATAGATTAGTGCTGGTATGTACTCACGTGAAGCGGGTAATGCATCGTGCGTGAGGCTCGTGACGACTAACAGTCATAGACCGTGCTCGATGTCATTTATACTTTCTCTCCATAAACGCTTTTGCCCTAATTCAAATGACATAACACTCACAAATTTTGCATAATCCGGCGGCAGGATTGCGCCGCGAACGGAACTGCTACGCGGATGATCTAACAATAGAATTTTCGTCTGACTATCGTCCGGTTACGGCGAGAAAATAATTGGCAGCGAGCAATCAACACCTTCCGCGATACATTCAATCTGGAAGGACGTCAGAATTTATTTTTCGAATATTCAGCTACGTGATTATTTTATTTTAATAAATAAAAGAAAAATTATTTATTCGAGAAATTTTTCAATTATTTTAGGTTGCGACTATTTATGTTTGTCGAGGTAATAATTATGGAATAATTTTTTTCTGCACGTAGAACACTGCTTCAGTTTTTGAGATTTGCATAGAAATATTTTTTTGAAATTGATTTTAGGTTCAGTTTTTTTTCTGTATCAACTTTTTATTTAGCGTCGAAGTAAGGTTTTGGGAATTGATTCATTTCGCGAAGAGCTCAGACCTAATACAGAGCTAATCTGGGCCTAATACAGGCCTAATTTGTATTTTGAACGTGCAAGATATTTTGAAAAACTATCTTGAAAATTATAAAATTGTTAAAGTTATAAATTTAGGTTATGTTTTGTTAGGTTTGGTTTGAGTCTAGGCTAGATTTAGGCTAGAATTTTTGGTTAGGTCAGGTTTGAATCTGAGCTAGATTTAGGTCAGAAAACATTTTTAAATTATAATAACCTAACCCTGATCTAACCCAGACCTAACCTCAACTTATTGCTTGCAAGAAATTCTAAAAAATTACGAAATTGCAAAAGCTGCAAGTATAGGTTATGTTTGGATCAATTTTTGGTTAGGCCAAATTTGAGTCTGAGCTACATTTAGGACAGAAAGCATTTTTAAATTATAATAACCTAAACCTGACCTAACCCAGACCTATCCTCAACTTATTGCTTTCAAGAAATTCTCAAAAATTACGAAATTGCAAAAGCTGCAAGTATAGGTTATGTTTGAATCAATTTTGGGTTAGATCAAATTTGAGTCTGGGCTAGATCTAGGTCAGAAAACATTTTTAAATTATAATAACCTAACCCAGGTCTACCCCAGACCTAACCTTAATTTATTGCATGAAAGAAATTCTCAAAAATTATGAAATCGCAAAAGCTGCAAAAAAAAGTATAGGTTATATTTGAATCAATATATTTTTGGTGAGGTCAAATTTAAGTCTGAGCTAGATCCAGGTCAGAAAGTATTTAAAAATTATAATAACCTAATCCTGACCCAACCTCAACTTATTGCGTGCAAGAAATTCTAAAAAATTACAAAATTGCAAAAGGTGCAAGTATAGGTTATGTTTGGATCAATTTTTGGTTAGGCCAAATTTGAGTCTGAACTAGATTTAGGTCAGAATTACTAATTGCGTACAAGAAATTCTCAAAAATTACGAAATTGCAAGAGCTGTAAGTATAGGTTATGTTTGTATCAATTTTTAGTTACGTCTGCTGTTAAAATTGTGCATTAAGATCGACAAAAAATTGCCAATCTCTTTCAGAAAAAATCGTCGCTATTATTCTTCCATCTGCGCTCCCTTTCGAACGATTTGGATTGAAAGGAAACCTTGGGATTAATAGCAATCAATTTCGAATTAGTCTCGACGGAATTTCCTGCGTCAACTCGAGCAATTTGATCGCGCATGTAACCCGTCGGAGTACCATCAGATTGAAATTAGATATTTTTTCCGAGGCGTTCTTTGCAAGGCAGATGTAATTATCTCCGAATCAAAGCTGTCCGAACTGTTCAACGATGGTGGCGGTCGCAACGCGATACGTTCATTGTACTAGCTCTTCACGAATTCCATCCGCGCAGCATTGTGAACCTCTAACCCTTTCGTATTAGTAAATACTAAGCTGTGCTTATGTTGCAACAAAGTTGAACGATTCGCCAGGGAAACCAGTTTCGCGAGATTTTAAAACCGCTCTGCGCACTGTTATTTATTATGTAGTTATCTTCAGCAACAATCTGATGTCCGTCTACGGAAATTATAGTGATCGCGGCTTCATTTTCACGGGGAGTGTACGCGCCTTTTCGCTGAAACGCATGTTTCAATTATAAAGTATTATTCTTTAGCATTATTGTATGTATTAATTTTTTATTAACGTTATTCATTATTATTATTATTATTATTATTATCCTGATCTGTTTTTAGAAATTTTTTCACATATTTCTTCTTTTTATTAATTTATGTTCAGTGAATAAAAACATACCCTGACAGTATAAACTCTAACAGCAACAATGTTGCTAAAAGTTGCAAAAATTTTGTTACATATTTTCTATTTTTATTAAATAATGCTGAATGTAATAAAAATATACCCTGAAATTATAAAAATTAACGGCAACAATGTTGCTAAAAGTCAGACAATTTCTCATATAATTTCTATTGTTATTAATTAACACTAAATGTAATAAAAATATACCCTGAAATTGTAATGTCTATCAGCAACAATGTTGCTAAAAGTTGCAGAGAATTTTCCATATATTTCCTATTGTTAATAATTAAAAATTATAAAGTCTGACGACAACAATGTTGCTAAAAATATCAAAAAGAAATTCGCATATTTTTGCTTGTTATTAATTACCACTGAATATAATAAAAATATATCTTGAAATTATATAAAGTCTAACAGCAACAATGTTACTAAAAGTCACAGAAGATTTTCCATATATTTCCTATTCTTATTAATTAACACCGAACATACCCTGAAACAATAAACAACGTTACCAAAAACTGCAGAAATATTTAAATCAATTTTTCTATCTATTCATTATCTTTATTAACATCAGGAATACATTAATGAGAGATCGACAACGCCACCGGCGATATCGAAGTCAGACAGCCATTTGTACTGTAATAATAAATGTGCGAAGTGTGACTCTGAGATCAGCGTTAATCGATCGATCGAATGAATATCATTAATTGTTCAATTGTGCAAGAAACATTTCAAGTGCACGGAGAAACGGCGACGATCCACTGCTTATCTTGATCAGCGTTGATTAATGATCGAACGATCCTGTTACTAATAATTTAGTAACCGAGACGTGGATTATGGTATGAGACGCAGATTCGCGATGTGTTCTTGAACAGTTACAAAAACGCTGTTTCATAGAGTCGGCACGGGCATCGTTGTCTATTCGATAATTAATGACGGCTCCGTGTGCGCGCGGTTATTTTCCTAGGTAATTCAGCGACCGTGCGACGGCGGGCGCTAGGACTCCCTGGATGTTGTAAATCCGCAGCGACTGTGCTTGCGCGCCGAGCGTCGGAGCGATTCCGTAGTTCGCCGCGACGACTACCGGTCGCGCGCCGTTCAATACGCTCGATTGCGCCGCCGGCTGCGGGCTATTGATCTGCTGGCCCGCGTATCCCGCGTACTTCGCCACCATGCCGGTCACGCTTCCGTAAGGAATACCACCTGCAACCAACCGACAGTCGTAGATGTGAGAGAGTTCGCGATCGTTCGCACAAACGCGTCGCTCGACTTTGTTTGAAATTTTTGGTAATTGAACTTGGTTGCTCGTTTATTGACTCGATCGGTTATTCGTTGCTACGAGGACGTCACTTTCGATTTCAACGACCTTGATATTTTTGCGGAGCTCTGCATTCTGAAGATTTTTTTTCTATTCTTTTATTTAATAATAGCAGGATTAGGATTTGATTTTATATCATTAAATTGAGCATGTGCGATTTAAGATGATTGAATGAAATTAAGAATGTCAAGATATGCCAATAGGATTAATATTGCCAAATTAATATGCCAAGATAGGAATAACTTTCTATTGGGTTTCTACTGCTTGTAATGGATTTAGAATATTTCTTTATTTCGCATAATGATCCGCAGCCTAATCATTATTATTTCATTCTTAAATTTCCATATTTATGCTTGTCATTAATTTACATTCATTAAATAAAAATATATAAAATTATGTAATATAATAAAATATATATTATTATTATTATTTATTTTATTTATATATATTATACATTTTAATATATTACATAATTTGATATATATAAAATATATACTATATTATATGTATTATATTAAATGTACATTACATTATATATAAAAAATATAATAAATATATATATAATAAAATCAATACATAAAATTATTATTATTATTATTATATAAAAATATATGGAATTGTGAAGCATAACGATAATAATGTTTTGTAAACGCTGTAGAAAATGTTTGGCATCGTCGTAGTTCTGAATCTAGCAATTAAAATCGCGAAACCTTGACAGACGTCTCTTCCCAGGCATTAAAGTCACCAAACTATGCTCTTTATTTAGTATAAATCTGAGAAACAGGAAAAAAGTACAGTCCGTGTAATAATAAAAGTGCATTTCGCTCATTCGTCTTCAAGTACAATGAAATTCGTATTCAGACTGTTTGTCTGCGGCACGATCTTCATAGAATTGCAATGCTCGATCAAAAGTCAGAATTTACTTTCTACGCTGAAAAGTGAAAGGAAACGCACGTTGGAGACGGTGTCGCCATCAGGCGTTGGATAAGTGAATGAAAAATAATTCTATGAAAATATTTTTTCTTCTGAAAAAGATAATCGATTTGAGACGATTTTCAGGCACTCGATTTAAAATCGTTTTATTTATTTCGTGAGAAACCACGTAGATCGATTTAGGTAAAAGCATGGTGACTGCCTTACCATACGCCAATCCGTTCACCATTTCCACGATCCCAGCGCTGTCCGGTGCGGCTGTCGATAAGTTCAGTGAGCCTGCAACTGTCAACAGTAATATCGTCTGCGAACAGAAATAAGTAGATCAGAAGTTTGTTCACCCTTACAGTTTTGGAAGTGTAATTGATCTCAGCAGGAATTTAAAATATAGCAAAATTTGTTAGAAATATTGGTTATAGTAGATTGTTAATTAGAATTTAAATTGTGATAGATTTCTGTATAAATTATAATTATAGTGCTGTTTAAATAGAAGGTTAAATATAATTACAATGTATTTCTAATAGAAATTGAAATTGCAATGGCTTTTTATAAAAAAACAATTGTATTAATATGTAGTAGCATTAAAGTACTATTAAAAATCAAAAAATTCCAATTAAATATATTTAAATTTAATTGT